ACCCTCTTTCAGTTTAAAACTGTTACCCCTATCACTACAGCCACTGGTAAAGAGTCCCTCCCCACCTTTCCTGTAGGAAGTAGAAGACTTAAAGCCAGTGATTAGCTGCTTTCAGAGACCAGATCTAATGCATGAGCAAATGAGAAGAGACAAGAAAGGCTCTGGATTTTATCATAGTCCCAGGTACTGGGGAAGAACTGGTTCTGGACAGGCAAGCAGGTTGTGGGGAGGGAGCCTGTAATGAAAAAGTACTAGGTGCAGCCTTGGAGATGAAGAGCCACTTGGGTGAGAAGAGGGAGGCACAGGAGGCAGCCATGGGGAGCAAGAGGAGATGCAATAAATCAAGAGGCTCAGCTCCCCAGAGAGCAGTGGTGCAGCGGGAGGAAAGATTGCATGAGGACTAAGAAAGCAGAAAGTGGGACTGACTGCAAAGGAAAACTTGTGTGAGAAATCCAAGAAAGGGTAACAGAGACTGAGAGAGGACCAAGAGCTATAATATACTCTAATTAGGAAATGCTGGAAACATGGGGCAGAAGGGATTGGTCTTAGGGAGAAACAGCAGGAGCTATGCCTGGAATGGAATTAAAAATTTTTAAGTCTTGCCATTCATCTGCTGTCAGCAAATATGTGTAAAACTCCTCAGCAAAGGGTCTCATTGCCCCACCAGGAAGGACAACTTGCTACGGCCAGCAGTTACTTCACCGTCTCAAGCTGCAGAGTCCTGTGTAGTAGCTCTAGATGTTGCCAACACATAGGCAAACCATGAAGACAGCAGCATGATGCCACATTATGGGGTATTCTGCTTCTGTTTCTGATTTAAAAACAAACCATCAAAAAAGGCAGAATATTACCTGTTCACTGCTTTTAAAACAACACGAAGCTTGCAAAGCATTGGAAATGCGCTTCTCTGTGCAATCTTTTCTCAACTCGCTTGTATGACTTTATTAATGTGGAAGGTTTACTTAAAGGTCATGCACTTTATTGTGACAGGAATCAGGGCTCAGTTTTATGAAACAGCCTGTTGTGAAAATGAGCTATGGCTGTGCTGTGCAAGGTGTGCAGCCTGTGCTGTGCAAGGTGTGTAGTCTGTGCCGTGCAAGGTGTGCAGCCCGTGCTGTGCAAGGTGTGTAGTCTGTGCTGTGCAAGGTGTGCAGCCCGTGCTGTGCAAGATGTGTAGTCTGTGCTGTGCAAGGTGTGCAGTCCGCAGGCCCACAGGTTGGAAGGTGTGTACACAGGGAAGCGGGAGGAGAAAGTCTGATCTCTGCATTAAAGCTTCTGCAGAATTATCTTCTGCCCTCTCCATGATGTTGTCTACGATGCTAGGCAAGTCACTAGAGCCAAACTGTTCATGTGTGGCAATTACATTTTACACATTACCTGGGTCTTTCACTTCAGCCTGAATGGATAAGGTGTTGCACTTTCACCATTTCCTTTCATGTCTTTGGGAGCTGTGCTTTGGAAGTCTCATGTGCTAAATGCACTGAAAAAAAAAAAAAAAAGTCTTCTATTGGGAACACAGAACAAGCAGGAACCATTTATTTTAATTTCTTTTGTTCCTCTGTCCTCCAGATATAAAACGGATGTGCGAATGCTGCCTTATGTTACAGAGATGTTCTGAAAATATGTTCATTTCTATTTGTTAGCTGTTGGAAATTAATACCAACAGCATGAAAAGTCTCAGAGAAAGTTCAATAACTGTCTTTAGAACACGTTTTGAAAAGTGCAGGAGATAAGGCACAGGAGGCACATGAGTAAACAACATACTGAAAAGCTGTATAAAAGGTGAGTACTCAATCAGGCAGATGTGCTGTGAAAAAACACAGTATGAAATGATGAGATTGCAGATGGAATTAGAAAGCATAATCACAAAAACCCAAATTAAGTTTGCATACAGATCTTAATTCTTCCATTTCCTATCTGTGGAGGGCTTGGCTTTTCAGCCTCAATAATAATATAATAATATAACATTGCACAGGTTTTCTACACACTCATACTTTCCACAATAGACACAAACAAATGTTGAAACAGTAATAAGACCCCATCCTTCAGAGCCGTGGGGATAGTGTGCTCTTTTTCTAGATCATTGTGGTCATGTTTTTTGGGTGTGGTTGCATCCTGCTCTGTTGTTCTGCTTTCATTTTTGTGTTCTTTTACATTCTTTCTGAGTAAGAGTGTACCTTTCTATATATTTATAAAGCGCCCTGTGCAGTCAGATTACAGTCCAGATAGCAGTTGCAAGATGTTTAATACAAAACAAGTATTAAATCTTCTTGGTATTGTCAAAATGACTAGAAGCCCATCACGGAGACTGGTGTTTTAGAAATGCAATACAAAAAGGCAGTCCTTGACTTAAGGAATGTATAAATTTAAAATAAGACACAGACACATAAAAAAGACAGAAGAAGATGAAATAATAATAAAATACAGTGGCCATATCAGAAAAAAAAAATCACTAGTTTTCTGCACTTATGCATTGTTGTATCTTTTGTATCAGACCTGCTTGCCACTGCTTTCTGGAGCTGCAATTAAGTGGATAGCTATTTATTCTGCTCCTTGTCACTAGAGGCTTTTACCTCTAGCAAGCAAAATGCAAGCCAGTGGTCATGAAATATGTGATAGATCCTTCATTGTTTCCAGTTCCCAAAGCCCTGTTGTGTCCACTGTGTATCACCATCTAAAATCTTAATTTCATAAGGTATAACAAGAAAGAATAGATCAAAATCTGTATGACAGCAATGGTGAACATTACTAAACCAGAAAACTAAGTTACTCAATGCTGCTGCATTATGCAAGAGAGCAGGACTCAAAAGATTTATGACACATTTCTGTTTGAAGATGGGAAGGGAATAGTGGGAAAATCACATTTTTGAACAAAATGCCTAAGGATTATTGCACTTGGAAGATAAATATCATATATTTGTGCATGTGCTTGGCAATCACAAACAATATGTAGATGAAACATTTAAGTAGTTTATAGGAGACCTGCAAGTGTGAAAATTTATAGCTAGCATAATTCATGGTAGCAGTGAAAAAGATGTTAAAAGACAGACATAAAAAAAGTATTTCAAGAACATCAGCACACAGACCTTCCAACAGAAGATTCATAGTTCATATTTGTTTGGGAATCCAAAAGTGTGCCCACTTCTGACACAAAGAACCAGTATCTCCCTTGCCAATAACCATCAGGATTGGAAATTCAGAATGCAAGGGAACTCTGTATTCAGTTCCAATTTTTAATATGACCTGTACTGAATAGCTCCTTTTCTTTTTTTCCTCTCTAATTTCTTTTCAAGTCTGTCATTCGCTCCAAAGGTGGCAATATAGTAAGAAGAAGAAACAGGGAAGCAGGAGACCTGACCATGCATATCTGACTTTGCCATGAGTGCATTTCAACTAGTTACTTTCCTTCTCTGTGCCTCAGTTTTTCTCTCTGTGAAATGGAGCCAACAACAAACTAGTGCAAAATCAGGATCTTCACATACTCTGCAGTGAGTAAAAAAAAATCATTCTTGCATGCCAAGTTATTTGTCTTTATTTGATTTGCAACAAATCAGTTAGATCTGATTCGGGGAAAAACAAATCACAGCTAATTCAGTTTTGCCTCAGCCACCTACTTAATCTTCGCCGCTAAGGAATGGAGGTGTTCCAGGCACAACAACAACAGTGACATTCCTGTTTAATTAATTTCTAATTTTAATCTCAAACCATGTTTTATAAAATCATTCCCATCACTGAGCATTCTACATTAATATGTATTAAGTACTGGATCGGCTTACTGAAGTAGTTAATTTGTTTCATTGGAAATCTCTCACTGAAAATCGTCATTCCAAAGTTATAGAATATCTTAGGTAGGACTGACACAGGAATTACAGGGCAAAAAGTTGTGCCTTTTGTTGTGTGAGAATTCAGGCTTCCTGACTGCAAGTATTTACCGGCATTAACAATTTTAAATATGTTATTGTGGTAACATTATTGAACATTTGTCCTTCACTAGTAAATTATTTCATTTCAAGATAAGGCTAGACAGAAAGAAATATTTCCTGGGAAATGCAGAGCTGAGACATAAACTAAACCAAGAGAAACAGGTTGTAAGTCTCAGTGAAAATTATTTTCTCACTATTACATGTGTATAAAGGGTTGATATTTTGCCAATCTCTATTTTTCTTGTCCTTGGTGCTAGACTGAGAGAAAGAGCTTCTGGCTATGGCAAACAGGACTCCTTCTGGCATGCTCTGCTTTATTATTCCCATCAGATGGTCCTTCTGGTTTGGGTTCTTTTTATTTCTCAAATAATTATTTTTATGGCACCGATTGTTATAAAATATTACCCTCACATTTACAACCGGAACAATACTCTTGAAACAGTTTCTTCATGTGTCCTCACCCAGGAGGTAAATATGCATTGATAGAGAACAGTGGAAATGTCATCAAACCCGAGCATTTTTGACTGGTGGTTAAGTAATACCCCGCAACAAAATAAAGATTAAACAGACCTAGACAAAATGCAAGGTAAACATAAGAATGCAAATAGAACTTAGCTGAGGTTCCATTTTATAGTTTAACATTGTCATTAAAAAGAGCAATGAAAACCATAATGGTAAGATGCCACATAAAAAAAAATAGCAGCAGAGAAACTAATTAGAAATAGTATGGAAAAGGAAAAAATTGTACAGCATAGCGATATTTATAATGCAAGAGGGGGGAACCAAAAAAGTAACTGTGAACTGGGACTATGGCAGAGTTAGGCTAACCTGATTTCTAGTATTAATAGAGGTATATAAAAAAAAAAACAGGAATTCAAGCAAGTAAACATACATATCAGAAAAAAAAAATTAACAAAAAGCTATCAAACAAACAAATAAACAACCCAAAGTCAGTAGAGGAAAGTTCTGGTTTCTTTGTCAGAAGACAAACAAAGTAAAAACACCGGAAACTTTTTGCATGCAACAGGAAAGAGCAGACAATAAATACCCATATGTGAGTGTGCATAAATAACGACGATGGAACTGTTAGGAGTTGTAGACAGCGGAAGTAAATGCAGCATCTTTCCTTTAAAATGGCAGAAAGCCAGAGAAAGCACTAAGAGTGAAAATAACAGCTTGCTTCTGTAGTTAGCAAAAAAAAACCCCAGCTGAGATTAAGACAAAACCAGAGATTGAATGGCAGCTAGAGTTCTGACAGCAGTAATGAGTCTAGAAAGGCTTGTAGATTGTTTTTAACTTATTTTTTGCCAAACATCAATTTCTCCCTGGGCTACTTCAAGCACCTAAAGCCTCCACACCATGGCCAGTTCAAAGCTTTAAAAACAGCAGGCACCCCTAAATATCAGAGGTCAGGTTGGAACTGTTAGTTTCAGAAGATGCTAGGGTTTCAGGCTGTAAAGTTTTGTAAGTTGTCAGAGTACCTCTGTTTTGTGCTGATAAATGTTTTTAAAAAAGGTTTCTTCATGTGTTTTATTTTTTCTATTATATACTTCCCCTGTATCTGTTTTCCTGTTCACTATCCATATATAGATATCACATATAGAGAGATATATTATAAAGATCATATATAAGTAGATTCTACACACACTCAGAAATATATAGCAATGCTTTCTCTTTCGGGATTATCCATACGTGAACAATTTTCCAGAAAACTTGAACACTGGTTCAGTGCTGAATTTCCCCTCTCTCAGACATCTTCGATAGCTCACTATCATCTCAAAAACTCCATGTGGTTAAAATTAACTGTTCGTTTTGACATATGTCTGTCTCACAGCAAACTGTCCATTTTCCTTTATAAATATGTCTTTCAGCCAGATACAGAATAATTTATTCTGCCAATTCAGAAAACCGTAAGAACATAGTGCCTTAATAGACAGGCTGTTTCTCCCTCTCTTGCTTTCTCTCCTGTGTACACACAGGCAGCCCCTGCCCTGAAATGAAGTCTCAGATCTAGTTACGTTTTATACAGGAAGCAAAATTACTTTGCTAGCCTCAGGAAAGTACTTAAAATATATATTTTAAAATGTAATATCACTAACACGGTAACAAAAATGTTCTGTTTACTGGCTGACTATTACAAATCTCGATGCATATTCACTGCACCAAATCTTTCATACTGCAGGAATACAAAACATGACAAGGTGCTGTGAGTTACAAACCGAATATTATCTTCATCTCCAAGTGGGTAAAGCATGTTGGATATGTTGGACATATTATAATACAAACTTCCTAGCTACTATTAACATCGGTCAGACTGTCAAGCACCTTTTAAAAATTCCTAGGATTCAGGCTTTTTTAACATCGGTTTGCAAAGGAACGTTTTCCTGACTGAAAGATATTGCAGGACCACAAATGATGGCTCTGAAAGGCACATCTTGGATAATCTAACCCAAACACCTGCTTCAAGCAATGATGGTTTTATATTAGTCTTCCCATAAGTGTACTTAACCTTTCTTTAAAGACACCTAATTATTTTGCCTCTACTCCGGTGGCAAACTGACACACTGTCTGATCAACCTCAGTGTTAAAAGAAAATGTCTATATATCCAGGCTAGATTAATCTTTCTTCCAAGTAAAGTTCTGGCCATTACTTCTGCCCACTACAAATTTTTGCACTTCTGTCTTTCCTGTTTTCACACATTATGATGGATATATCTTTTAGCATTTCTCTCTCCTTAGACTAAAAAAGTCCTTCCACAATTCTCACACTGTCTTTCAATGAACCTGTCTACATTATTCTATACTTCAAGTACAGACAGCCCAGCACTACATGAAATTATTGCGATACCCTTCCAGCTCTTTGAAACATGTCTTTGCTTAGATTTCTTTAAATACAAATCTATTCTTTTTGTAATGTCTTCAGATAAGATGTCATTTTTGCTTGCATTAGTGACAGAATTGTATTTCCTGAATATATTTTATTTTACTTTATGCCAATGCTACATATGTTTCTCCTCCAGTTTGTCATCTTTTGTGCTGTGAATAGCAGGATGGAAAAAAAATCTGCTAGAAGAAGAAGGGGTTTTGTGGTTGTCTTGATTTGCTTTTTATGTAGTAGTTTCTCAGCCTTGTGCTTTAATTGCTAGGTGCATGCATCTATCAGTGGAATAACTTTGAATGCAGAATCTTACTGAGTATTTCAAATTTCTACATTTAGGGCTCTTTCTTTAAAATATCAAAGAAAGGCTAGACTATGATCTCAGGGATGGCAAAACCTCTGACTTTCCGAACATTGAGAAAAGGGAAAATTATATTCCTTTTTTGATCAAGACTGCTACAGTCAGTGGAAAGCTGCCCTAGTAATGAAAGTTTAGTCTTCAGAGTGGCCAAGATTTCATGCAATGCATTTTCTAAAACAACTGGCAGAATTCACTGTGCTATAGTAATTGGGTGAAAGATAGCACTGAGCTACTGCTTTGTCAGTAGTTAGAGAGGGAGGTTACGAGGATTTTCAGTGCTAGGCACGGGAGTGGGTTTGGCTTTAAATCCAATAAATTATTGCTGGATATTCTATCTCCACACACTCTGGCTACTGTTCCAATGGGAAAAAATTACCATGATAAAAAAAAATATTTTGGCAGTCTCTAGCTAACTGTTGATAGCTGCTATTTCTGTGTGTAGTGAAATCTGTTCTGTGCAGAAAAACTTTCTGGTTTATGTGCCCTGATACAGAAAGTGCCGGACAAGATGCTTGTCTCCCCCCTGAAGTCTACAGACATTCACCCGTTGCCTTTTGTGAGGGCAGAACCATGTTCTTGAAGTGGGTACAATGACAACAGGGATAATTTCAGGTTTTTCTTGTCGGTCATCTGCCAGCACAGTGTATGGAATCAGCTCACTGAAGAGCCAGAGGTAACAGAAGTAAAGCTGGCATGAGGGGAGAAATGCAGCTGTGCAGCTGGGTCACGGCAAGGAGGGTAGGAGAAAAGGCGAGAGAGGATGCTCTGCTCAACCCCAACAAGCTTGTAGGCTGGCTCAGCCCACCTTGTCTGGTCAGACATGAAGATGGGACATCCTAACATGAAGAGTGTAAAATAGTTCCTTAAGGCTCCAGCTGCATCGGATGAGCTTTCTTCTAATGGACAACACTACTCACAGAGTGCAGTATGGAGTACAAACTTGTAAAACCAGCTAACAGATCCTAAAACTTTGTGCCTGTGTATATCCATGGCTGATGAAATCCCTTCAAGGGATAAAGGACAAACCTCTCCACTAATGATGTTAGCATTTCTGATACTCTCATTCACAAAGTATTGCTGCTTTGCCAGGGAGATGGCACTGCCCTGTAACTGAAACATTTTTCTTTCTCTCTGCAGTATGTATAAGGATAGCCCAAATTAATCACAGTTTCTTCTCCCTCTCATGTGGGGTCTCACATATGGTTTCTATGTGATCTTAGCTACCAGGAGTTTGCAGGGAACCTTTAGGAGCTGCTATATTAATGACTTGCTTTGTGTTTCTTGTCGCTGATGCAGATTCTCCATCTCCACATTCTTGCAACAATGAAATAAAAATTCGATTGAACTTCTCTCCAGTCAAAAGGTGTTATATTAGTAGGCAAACAGGCACTTGGGAGTGTGAGTACTCCTAATGAGGAGAGAAATTCAAGGATTCCTTGCTGCTTCTGGATTTTCAGACTTGGCAAAGTTGCTTGCACACTGCTGACCAGAAGGTTGAAGCGCTCTGTTTCCACGTTCAGTGTACAAAAGGAAGTTCTTACCAAGCTTAAATTCTCAATCTCAGTCTGCTTTTTCCAGTAGTTCAGTCCTTGAACACGTTCATTATTCAATCCTGCCTAAGAATACAGGATTGTTCTGTGCTATTTTCTTGGAAAAAATGACATAACTATCTCAGTTTCTGGATAAGGATCCGAGAAGGCTTTTCTATGGATTCAGTTGTTGCAGTCACTGTCTTTGGTGGCCTAATGCTCCTGATTCCTGCAACAAGTTCCAAAGTAAATCTCCCAAGGTCCCAAGGTTTCCATGAAACTATCTTCTGTTTCCCAAGAAGGACAGACTGTTGGGAGCTCACTCGACCAGCACACCTCAACCTGTACTCACCACTCAAGCCTTTTTAGGTGAAGAAGTGAGTACAATCGTTAACACCTTGAATGATCTCCATACACAGAGAGCGATTACATGAGGTTCTTTACTTTCCGATTTCTAATGCAAAGACCTCAACAAAAAAACAAACCCCTCCAACATTATTCTCAGTAGAAATCACTAAGATCTGCCAGAACACAGCTACTGTAATTTCCAAGGACTATTGTGAAGACTATAGAGTTTTGGATCAGAGTGGTTTTGGCAGTAAGAGAGCTAAGTAAAAATGATTTGCAGTTTGGTTTGCTCAGGTGGAAGGAAGGGAGAGAAGAAATATGTCTGGATTTACAGAACACTGGGGTTTCTGTTTTGAAATTATTTTTGGATTAGTAGCTGGGCAGATTCTGTTCCAACAGATTCTGGTTATGTTGGATAAACTCCACTCTAACAAAAAGGATTCTGACCTCTCAGTATAAATAAAATTAGCAGGTTTTGTTTAGATGACTCTTGAAGTAAGTAGAAAAGATGGAAAAATGGAGATTTGTCCTAATTTCAGCAAACCAAGAGGTACTCCTGAGACACAGAAGGGTAAAAGTAGAGTTGTTAAAAAAATAGATTATTTTTGCCTAACAGTGTATTTATGCAAAAAAAAATATCTAAAAAGCCTGAAAAGCAAGCAAGAAAAAGAGAGTACAAAAACTGAAGTTTGCAATGGTGATTATAACATATATATAGGACTGTGATTTTCCTAATGATGTTTTCTTAAGACATCAGTTTTGAACAATATAGCTGATGTTCAGTAGTTAACTCAGAAAATAGAAGAAATGTGTCATCATATGTCAGAGTATATATTTACGATGCAAATTAGATCAGATAATGACAGTTCTGAGTGTACAGGTAAAACCTATGAATTCTACAAACTCTCTACTCTTAAGGGCTGAAGAAGAAAGAATACAAGGAGCAACCTCTGCCAGCTGTCTAGGATGGAAGGCAAAAAGATTAAAGCCTTCCTTTAACCAGTGGGTCAAGCTCCTGTAGGAATATCTGAAATCGCAGATCATTTGTAGGCTTTTTAACTACTGAGGTTATCTCTTGGTCAAAAAATGCAAACAGAAGTCTAACATAAAAAGGTTTCTATACCACCAAGCAGAGGACTTATGACCTAAGGGAGGAACGAGCAACCCTGGACCTAGGACAATCTGAGTGTAAACAAATAACTAAGAAAGTCAGAATAAAAGTAAAGTAAACAAGCTAACAAAGAGCTACTCATATTTATGCTAGAAAAGCACAGGTTCACAGAAGAGCAGAGTAGAGGATTAAGCAGTCAGCATTACCACTCCACATTTTGACTTCTCTAGAGTGTCATTCACCATACCCCAGCATGGCTCGGTCTGGTGAGCTACAGTGAAAGCTGTGACAGCCAAGTAACCTTTTCAAAATGCTTAAGTAATGCTTCAGCAGTAAAAGCAAAGCAAGACAAGCAGAAAAAGCATGGAGGCAATCTGTGCCTCTAGTCAGATAGGCACAGCTTATCTCAGATACCAAAACTTTTGGAGAGCTTTGAAGAAGCAGTGTCTGCCTCTCACACCTTACTTCTAAGTGCTGTCTTTTAAACCACCCCTCGTTCTCTGCTCTTTTTTCTGTCCTTCACGTCCGACATTCTGGGATAAAACTAAAAGTCAGCACTAATAGAAGCAAACTTTTTCAGCCGAAGTGACATCATTGTCTTCAAGTCCCAGTAAATGGGCTATCTGAAGCTAATGGGTGCTTTCCAGCGTGTATGTTTTCAGTCAGGTAATCTTGAATTAGCCATTGTAATTCTAGAGACAAAGCAGATGGTTGTAGAGTTTTCTTACCATATTATAGGGCTCTCTAGTTGCTTCACATAAATGCAGACAAATTGGTAAATGAGGTCTGGTGGAAGAAAGCACTACATCAGCAAGCAGAAGCAAACAGGTCCCTCAGGAATCCTAAAACTCAGACATAACTTCCTTAAAAGAAGAAAACAAAGAACAAGAAAGAATACGAAGAATAAGAAATAGCCAGTCTACTTCTACAAGGGAAGGCTCAAAGGAAGAATAAAAAGATAGGAAAGAGGAAGGAACAGTCACAGAATAAAACGCAGTATTTAAATTGCCTTGTGGTGGAAGTGATGTTGCTTCTCGATCTGCTCAGTGCATAAAAGACTACTAAAGGTAGTGTTTGGGGTGGTGGGTTGGGGTTGTGGGGTTTTGTTGTTTGTTTGGTTTTTTTAAACTCTTTAGCCTCAGAAACATAGAATGTTTTACCTTCCTTGTTTTTGCTGGGGTCTTCCCCGAAACAGTTGGAGCTCTGATGTGAATGACTAAGGAGAGAAGTCTTCAGGTTTCTGAAGACAAGCCCCAGGTTAGCTCTTTGCGGACAGCCGGAGGAAGTTCTACCGAGAGAAGAGCCGTGCCGAACAGCCCCCCACAGGACCCCCCTTCTCCCACGCCCGCTCGCGACTGCCGAGGGAGC